AATTCTGATTTTTGTGCAGAAAATCACTAGAGCAGAGTTTCAAACAGCTTTTTTTTAATCCAAGATCGGCCCGTGACCCTCCTCTGCCAAAGGATTTTAAATTTAAAAATCAGGAACATGAACCCTAGATCAATACTTTTCACCTATAAATACATCCTAAAGTTTCAGCCAAGATCCTCGGAAAATCCTTCTAAAAATCAATTTTTACCACCTAAAAGGTATCTCAAGCTAATTAAAAAAGGAATAGATCTGAAGCCTCGCAAGCCCAAGTTCACTGCCTCGCGGAAGGTAACCCAATTTCATTCTATCATAACATATACGTATATTTTATTATAATAGAATTATGTGTTAAGTTTTCGTCTTTTAATTGTGTTGAAATTTATGCAAATTCTGTGGAGAATCGCTTTTCTTGTTATGGCTCCAGTTACAAAACTTGGTTGTTAGAGTAGTACTATTTCTTTAAATTTCATTTGTCATGTTAATTAAAATTACTTGGTTGTAAGTTATTGATCATGTGTGATAAAAAAATCTGTTAAGAAGCATGACTAATGGCTAATGTTTTTTTAAAAAAAAAAAGAACAAAAAAGAAAAAAGAAACAACTTAGTCCTTAGATACCATGTTGTAAGAAAATCTTGTTGCCAATAAGTTCTACTGACAAATCTTTGGTGTATTAATGTGTATTCATCTGTTTAGAAACTTGGTTAACACATTTGGCATTTTATTTATTCGAAAATAAAATATCCAAAAGTCCTTGTTTATTCACATGTCTAACTTGTTCCTTTTAAAATTTGGGTGTATACTTGCTGACATTGTTTATAAAAAGTTAGTCATTATAGAAACTAACATTTTCTTTTAAGAATATAGTACTACTTAAGAATCTACAATTTGCTTTTAAGAATAAGTACTACTTAAGAATCTATAAGTACATGCTATATGCCCTGCTTTAAGTCCCTTTCATTCATGAATTAGTATGATAAGGAACTATGATTATAGGAAGTCTTTTATTTGTTCCATATAAGTTGAACGGGATATTTGTATGAAATATCGCTGCTATCGATATTTAATTTACTAATAAGTTCAATTATTAGTTTAGGAGCCATGTCGTAAGATCATTCTTTCACACTCGAAATGCCATGTACGTAGTTTATCCATCACGTTGTAATGACTATGTTTAAAGTACTTGTCCAAAATATTGTTTGAAGTTCTATTTGTTAGATATATGCACGTTTGATGACTTGTTTAAATCCCTTATGTTTAAATTAATATGTCTGTGTAAGTTTGTGTCATTTTTAATATATTCCTTTACTTTTGTAAACACCCGCACACGTTCGTTATGGGGTTACCGCCGCGTTTTCCCCGTTCTGTGCTTCTATAATTTATTATATGTTGTTTGGAGAATTTGAAGTAATTCGGTTAGAGTTTCGGTTAGAAATGAGACAATAAGTCTCTTTATGAAAGGATTGTTTGGAAAAGTCACCGAATGTTGACTTATGAGTTAGAAGACTCGGAATTGGATTTTCGATGATTCGACTAGTTTCGGGGGATGATTTATGACTTAGGAGTACAATCGGAAATTGAATTTGAGGTCCGGTGTAGAATTAGGCTTGAATTGGCTAAGGTTGGATTTTGGCGAATTCGGATGGTAGGTGAGATTTGATCCGAGGGTCGGAAGAATTCTGAGAGTTGCAGTAGCTCTGTTAGGTGATTTTGGATATGCGTGCAAAGTTTCAGATCAATTCGGAGGTGTTTAGGTCGGTTTTAGATCAAATGCAAGTTTCGGAAGTTTTAGTTTAACTTAGGCTTGAATCCGTGGTAATTCGATGATTTTGGTTTTATAAAGTGTGTTTTTTACGTTACGAGCAAGTTTGAATGAAGTAATAGAAAATATCTGTGCATTTGGGTTGAGGTCCGAGGGCCTCGGGTGAATTCGGTTGGTTTAAATGAGAGTTTTGAGGTGTAATTGGCAGGTCAGATTTTCTGTCATCTGGTGTTTCCGCTTCTGCGGAAATGGACCGCAGAAAGCGGGTAATGGTCGCAGAAGACGGTCGTGGACGGCTAGGGAAATTCCGCAG